CCTTCTTTTCGTTTATTTTACATCAGAAAATTTCGTAGATTAGCTGTACATTTGGTATTTCCGGTTCCACTATTTCACCATGTACATACATATATGTATGTACATGCGTATGTATGTAGCTTGAAGCATTCAGCATGACTGCAGCCAGAATTTGAAGAACCCAGAATTATTAGTGGAGAGATATTGAGAATGGGCACTAGACTGGATCGGTTTCCATATAAAGGAAAGGCTTCGAAAGCTTACTTGGAAGGGATTTTAGCATAATAAAATTTTCGTCCATGACTACGGTTGCCAGACGTACTGATTTTATCAGTAAAGTACTAATTTTTCAACTGTCGTACTGATTTTATTAATTTCTTCAATCAGTACGCTAATGTCCTGATTTTCCAAAATTTGTAATGATTTGTACTGAATTTTCAATTCTGAGAATACAAATCTGTAATAAGGGCTTTCCACCCAGCTTGATGCTCCGTAACTCGGTGTCCGGTACTTTTCCCCCATGTATTTTTTTAACTGAATAATAAAAAAGGAGGAGGTTATCAATTCGACGGATTATTTTTATTTCATTTTATTTATGTTACCGCATAACGTTAATCGATTCCTATAATAATTTGGTTTCGATGCGATCATTATCATGAAGAAATTAACGGTACTCTTAAATTTGTGTATGAGAATTGAAGTCAGTTTTGTTTTTTGCCTAGAAATTACTTACCAACAAAATAGTTTAGAATTTTTTAAAGGTTTTTACATAACGCTGGAGCTTGCAAAATGTAAAGTAACAGAAACAAAGAACATAGAATATAAGGGAGCCATAAACATTGGTTATGTTTTATTTTGTCAAACTGGTAAATACCCTCCCTATATTGCAGTCCATCACTCTTGGCTGAGTTTTTTATTTAAGGTTTTTACAATAATTTCTTAAGTTTTTTTCCTGAATTTAGTGAAATTAAAAAAAAAAACTAATACTGATTCCCTCAAAAATTCATGGATATGAAAAAGAAAAGCTGTGGATACAGTGGCAAAAATATTAATAGGGAAGCGACATTTTAGAAGTTTATACAGAGGGAAAAAATGTTTTTAATTATATTTTTTATTTGTGTATATAAAACGAAAGTTTTGGGTTTAAGTATAGTATAAGTTTTCTGGTAGCCTTTACAACGATACCAATTTTTTTCAAAATCGGTTAGTAGTTTTTTTGTGTAAAATATTTTTATTCTTTATTAATAAAAGGTATTTTTTGCTTTCAAGTGTTTATTCTCAAATTTTTATACATTTTTTATATATACAAATATGCACACTAGAAGAAAGATAACGGAGAAATTACTTTTTTACCTATGACTTAATCTCTTACAAAAAATTGGTGTGGTCCAATACCCAGCGGAGTGCTGTACAATGTAATGATTCTAGTATCTTCGTTTATGTATATTGTAACTATCAATATTTTATAAAGAGAAGTGTAAAATTTTTTTATCTAAAACTAATAAAGTTAGAAGGATGTGGTAGTTTACATATTAGTCCTTGACATATATTTTTTTCGAAAATAAATATTGGAAATTTCCAAGGCTATTCAAGGATAAAGTTTAAAAACGACGTTTTCAACATTTATTCGTCCTGGTGCAACAAAAAATTTAATTTTTTTTAAATTCCACAGAATTTTTCCTTTTAACTGATACCCATATTATTACTCTACAAAGCACCAAATCTTTTAAATAATTTTTTTATTCAACCATATTCTGGAAATTTTAAAGTCCTTTACAAAAAAAAAACCCTGACGTCAGAGAGCAAAATTAGAAACGCAGTTATACTATATTTGGCTCCTAGTTTTGTAAATATATTGATTTTTTCGCGTGTTTTAAAAATTTATTATCAATACTTCATACATACATACATACATGGCGTATGAGCAACATTCGTGCCTGGGCATATTTCCTAAAAATTATAGTTTAAAAAACTAAAACCTCCCTATTATAATTGCCATTCGTACTGTCATCAGGTATGTAACTTGATAATAGAAATCGCTGCATCTTTTAGGCGCATCAATATTACATAGCTACATCCCGAGCTAATAAGAGGAAGGTAAAAAGGAAATTATTACGCATTTTTATTTGAGAATTTACAACTTTATTTATCAATAAATGTTCTTCGGTGATAGCTTGATGTGTTTGTAAAAGAACAGGCTTTAACAAAAATCCATGGAATTTATAAAAAAAAAAAAATCAGTTTTAAATTTTTTCCCTGTTAAAGTTTGCATTATTTTCATTCACAATGTAAATTTAAAGTGAAAGTATCTTGCGAACCTGATACCTGATGTAGAAAAACGGTATACAGGGCCCTAATGTACGACCCAAACTTAAGTTTATGTGTTTCGGCGTTTTTTTTTGTCATTTCAAAACTTGAAATTTTCCTTTCATTATAATTGATAAATAAAAACAATGGCTTACGATATGTATGGTCAAGCAGGATATATATATAAAGCGAAAAGCAACTGCTGCAACAAAATAAAGAAGCTTAAGTCGGGAGGTTGGCTTCAAAAATTTATTATTTGAATCGCAAGGAATTTTATTAAGAGACTTGATTGGAGTATTGACATTGGCTTGCTGACATCAGATATATTTCGTCGTTTAAAGTGCAAAACCGCGTATCAGCAAAATGCAAAACCACGTATGTGAGGTTGCATAAATTATTTTTTAGAGAGAAAAAACACTCATAATTCAAAATGGTTCTCTTTTTTATAAAGCACTCGCATATCTGGATAGCATATTTCAGGACGAATGGATAAGGATAGAGCCAAGAGCTTGTGTGAGCAAATCCAATTTTTGGCAGCCAACGTGAGTTACGCGGTTTTGCAGAATGACGATACGCGGTTTTGTACTTTAAACGACGATTTATTTCGCGTTTATTTGCCAAGAGCTTTTCAATAGCTTGTTCGTAATTCGCAATTGCACGATAATACAGTATTCTAAAGTCAACCTAACGACTTAAGCCGTTTTGTTGCCACAGATATACTCGTATAAATAAATTAAATTTCCTGTGAAACAATTTGCATGGTCACGTTAGCTTACCAGTACGGCAGTACAATATAAGTTTGAATGTACGCAAGATATATTCAAATAAAAAAAAACATAACCCTATAAACGTATTTTCGATTTTGAAGACTTTATTAATACTATTGCTCCGATCTCTTTTGTTTACTTGCTTTAAGCATAAAAACAAACAAAAATAAATGTACTTAAAACTGTCAAACATTATCTTATTGATTAAAAGAAATGGTGGGAAATAAGCCATTTTGGTAGGTTTTTGGTACAACTTCTGGTAGGAAAGAAAATTGTTCAGTGGCAATCTCTGGTATTACTAGTAGGTACTACAGATTGCCCGAGCATGCTCTAGTATAACAGTAGCATCTTTTAGCACGTGCTCAAGTTTTAATCATGCGGCCCAAGGTGTGTGCGAGGTACTAATGCAATTGTTTCTTATTCTTACGGTACACTTAGACCCAGTGGGCTAGCTGTGATACCAATTGAGGGCTCGAATTGGAACCCGCATGTTCTCCTAGAAGTAAATAGAACCAGTTGGGTAGGTCAAGATAGCGCGAGAATTAGTGAAGACAAAGCGGTAGTGGTGAAATGAGCATCTTCACGCCCACGAAATGGCAGGAAAGCGACAGAGGTAGGGTTTCACATTCTCGATTTCGTGTCGATGCCGCGGCCACTTCGGCAGAAGTCATTGACCGGCAATCCTTTTCTACTAGCATGCCCTCCCATTAAGCAATGGCCCGTAATAATACCGGCATTGGGTGGGTGGCTTACTAACCGAATGAATGCGTAGGATCTTTTCTTGTCGAGGCTGGGCCAGAAATAATGAAGTCAATCAGGCATGTTCTGCATTCTACTTTGGAGTAAAAGTTGTTTAAAAATACTTAAATTTCGCATTTTGGTGTTCTACATTTTACCCTATACTTTTGAATTCCGTNATAGGTCAAGATAGCGCGAGAATTAGTGAAGACAAAGCGGTAGTGGTGAAATGAGCATATTCTCGCCCACGAAATGGCAGGACAGTGACAGAGGTAGGGTTTCACATTCTCGATTTCGTGTCGATGTCGCGGCCACTTCGGCAGAAGTCGTTGACCGGCAATCCTTTTCTACTAGCATGCCATCTCATTAAGCAATGGCCCGTAATAATACCAGCATTGGGTGGGTGGCTTACTAACCGAATGAATGCGTAGGACCTTTTCTTGTCGAGGCTGGGCCACAACTAATGAAGTCAATCAGGCATGTTCTGCATTCTACTTTGGAGTAAAAGTTGTTTAAAAATACTTCAATTTCGCATTTTGGTGTTCTACATTTTACCCTATACTTTTGAATTCCGTTTTTTCGAACATCAAATTTTAAAAATGAAACAGCAAATCGCTACTTTTCTAGAACATCAAAAATGAAAAGTTTTATTTTTGATTTTCACTTCATTTTCATTCTACTACTTTTCTGGAACATGCCTGAATATGTGATTTAGTTAACGTTGTATGGAATAAAATAAGGAAGGATCTCGGATTAACATTTGCATTAATAGAATAAAAAAATTAATGAATAAAGTAAAAACTTGATGTTTCTTCGGAACCCCGCGTTTTTATTAGAGTTCTGGTGCTTTTTAAATGAACAATTTGGCAGCACTGTCCAGAGTGACACCTATGGAGCACAATTTCCAGTTAATTTGTTTATTACCTGCGCAATACACTTTCTCCATCAGAGACAAATCAGACCATGAATACAACTATTCAAAATACCCTAAACTCAGCACCGCCAAACAAGTCTAGTCAATCTTATTAATTATTGGAAACAAACTTTCATTTAGTGCTACTAAAATGCCAGCGCAATCGGATAAACTGTTTATGAGTGCATTCTAAATGTGCATATCTAATGGTAATTAATTGTATTGATACGTTCACAAATATTTCAAATATAATCTTCCAAAGTACTCAATCAAGTCTGTAGTTTTCCACATCTTACCGATAATTGTTGATGACTCCTTGCGATGCAAATTTTCGCCAGATAAATGCAGATGTATGTATGTATAATTTAAGCTACAGCAACAAGTGTGCCCAATATCATAACCCGTTAAATCACACAAACTAACCGAAGTTATTTATCACGTCTAATACGAATTATCCTTCAATACAGAAGCTAACACTTATCTAAAACACCAAGAACTGTTTCTATTCGTGTTGTTCACGCTGTTGCTTGTGCCGACAATTTGATGCGGAGCCCTATTTGGCTTAGCCTTTTATACAAAACACAGTCAAAAGTGGAGTATCTAACATTCCCACCCCACCCACAACAAAACAAAACAAAACAAGAGTGGCAGCATCAACATTTTACACAGAAGCGACGTCATGGAACCATCCATACAAGCAATTTGGTGTATCCTCGTCTCTGCCGCGATTTGTCATTTTCGTCCCTTAATGTTTGTTTTTATCGTAGTAGTAGTAGTTTTCTATATCTACATATATGTTAGAGCATCCCAGTAGAAATTTTATGCATGCGACATCGCTGTTGGTGGCCACGACCTTGCTGCCAGTATAAATGAACCTTGATTTACATTTAACATGTGTGGTTTNCATATATGTTAGAGCATCCCAGTAGAAATTTTATGCATACGACATCGCTGTTGGTGGTGCGAGCTTGCTGCCAGTATAAATGAACCTTGATTTACATTTAACATGTGTGGTTTCTCAGAGCGTATGCGTACTCTAACCATACACTTGTACTACTGCTGTATGCATATGGCTGTATTAATGTTTCAAACATACAAAAACGCATTAATGGAATAGTAGGTTTGTTCCTCAAGCCACTCGAAGTCACTTCGAGTTACACATACGCGGTTCACAAGTAAGTTTTAGAGTTTATTTGATATACGCTGGCAGTTTGAACTTGGCTCGAAGTTTTCTACAAGTAGCTTGTGGAACAAACCTAGTATTAAAGCATTCTTCCCCATATGTANTTTGTTCCTCAAGCCACTCGAAGTCACTTCGAGTTACACATACGCGGTTCACAAGTAAGTTTTAGAGTTTATTTGATATACGCTGGCAGTTTGAACTTGGCTCGAAGTTTTCTACAAGTAGCTTGTGGAACAAACCTAGTATTAAAGCATTCTTCCTCATATGTAAATGCTACTTTTCTGATACATTTTAATATATGGTACATACGGGGATATAAAAAAGTTTAATTTACATATGCAATTGCATATCTTGTAAAAGCCCGTTAGTGCTGAAAATATTATTGCACAACACGTCCGTTCACTACAATTTTTGTACAAGACTGAAAATATTGCAAAAATTCCATTTCACATTTATCAATAAATGTACTTAAAACAACAACAACGTACGTTCACTTGCAGTTCGCTTGAATTTGAATTTATTTGTGGAAATTCATGACTACGCATGAATTGTTCANTGTATCCTCGTCTCTGCCGCGATTTGTCATTTTCGTCCCTTAATGTTTGTTTTTATCGTAGTAGTAGTAGTTTTCTATACATATATGTTAGAGCATCCCAGTAGAAATTTTATGCATACGACATCGCTGTTGGTGGTGCGAGCTTGCTGCCAGTATAAATGAACCTTGATTTACATTTAACATGTGTGGTTTCTCAGAGCGTATGCGTACTCTAACCATACACTTGTACTACTGCTGTATGCATATGGCTGTATTAATGTTTCAAACATACAAAAACGCATTAATGGAATAGTAGGTTTGTTCCTCAAGCCACTCGAAGTCACTTCGAGTTACACATACGCGGTTCACAAGTAAGTTTTAGAGTTTATTTGATATACGCTGGCAGTTTGAACTTGGCTCGAAGTTTTCTACAAGTAGCTTGTGGAACAAACCTAGTATTAAAGCATTCTTCCCCATATGTATGTAAATGCTACTTTTCTGATACATTTTAATATATGGTACATACGGGGACTTACAAAAAAGTAGCATTTACATAAAATATCCCACAACACGTCAGCTCACAAAAATTTTTTTACAAGACTGAAAATATTACAAAATTCCACTTCAAAATTATCAAGAAATGTACTTAACAATAAAGTACGTTCGCTTTCAGTTCGCCAGAATTTGTTTTTTTTTCTGGAAATTTATAGCCACTCATGAATTGTTCACTCCGTTTCACTCATACAGCATGCATACATACTTCATGAAAGCATACAACCACTTTCTACGGGGTACATATGTACATACACAATCTTTATCGGTGTGCAGCATCAGCGCTGATGAGCAACAGCAATGCAACGACATCATCAGCGTCACAGATGTTGATTGCNGTTCGCTTGAATTTGAATTTATTTGTGGAAATTCATGACTACGCATGAATTGTTCACACTAATTCACTCATACAGCATGCATTTTTCATGAATGCATACAACCGATTTCTACTGGGATGTGTAAACACATACATACATATATGTATATATATTGGAACGCGCCAAGTGCCGTAAAAATCTGACTGGTCGGTCTATAGGTTAGCGTGTTGATGCAACTTTCGTTAGAAACATGTTGCTTTAGCTCAGCTGTGCTATTTTCCCATTCACGCATACATACATATACTTACATGGATTTGTATGCGTGCAGTGTACTGCACACACACCTGTTGAATGTATAATATGTGTTTCCTTCCGGTAAATGATAACGGTTTTCTGCAACTGTAATACCCAGTGTCGGAAGGTAATAACAAATAGCCTACTTAAGAATATGAGCTCAATTGCATGGATAACCGACTCAATACGCGGTGATTTTAGACGATCGGTCACGAATTTAGCATACTAAAATTTAAGTTGTTTCCTTTCTAATTATTTTATTTTCTAATATTTTTCTGGAAGTGTGACTCGCTTCTGAAATTCTCCTCTGCTGTGGCGTTAGAGTGTTCCACAGCTAGTAGATTAAAGTAGGAATTATCTTGGCTACTTATGAAAAGTATGGACGGCTAATTAAGAATACTAGTGAACCCGCATGACGTTAAAACGCCCAAAATTGAATTTCAAAAACTTAAAAGATATTCCAAATGTTAGTCAGAGTTATAACAGATCCGAGTGTCATTTTTCATCAAAACCGTACAACCGTTTCTGAGTGAAAAGCAGTCTCGCATAGTGCATGTTTTTATTTTCATCGAATTTCAACTCACCCCATACCGATGAAAAAATATCTTAATAAAAAAATTAAAAAATAAAATTTTATCACACATCTAAAAACTAAAATCTTCTTAAATCTCTTTCGTCTGACATTGTGGTACACATGTAGTTATTTCAATGAACTGACGAACTAATTTGTATTTGATTGTTCGAACAAATGACAACCCTCCTAAATAAAGGTCAGGAATAAACCCATTTCGATTGATACCCATCTTTCAATAATTCATCCTACTTATTGAATAATTTGAATGTAACTTTTTAAACAGGTGGCAATCCATATTTTGATATTTCATATAACTTGTGTCAGCTGGCAATCCTCTTCAAAANCTACTCCTACTTATTGAATAATTTGAATGTAACTTTTTAAACAGGTGGCAATCAATATTTTGATATTTCATATAACTTGTGTCAGCTGGCAATCCTCTTCAAAATATTTTCGATTCGTACGAAATCCAGAATATGCCTCAATGTAATATTTTCTCATATCTTGAATGCTTATACATATTAATGCGACATGATTTTCTGTGGTAGAATGTGGTAGCGAAGGTCATTTTTTAGGTACTTATTCCACACCGATTTTCATATATCTTATATCAAAGGAAACAAAAGTTAATTCAGACGAGCAGAATCATATCCGAATATACCTATCGTAATACCTACTTATGTATGTATGTACATATTTATATCAGTAAAATAACTTACCTTTTCAAGTTTTTCAAATGAATATGCATTGTACCTACTAATATTCTATTGTGCCTTACATTACGTGATTTATATGCAGCACTGCCAGATGTACGGATTTTTCCGTACGGTACGGATTTTCAGGGATGAAAATGGTTGTACGGATTCAACGTACGGATTTTTAGCTTTTCGTCAAGATGTACGGATTTTTGGAGATTTTTTTAATATAATAAAAATTTTCCCGTTTTACACATATCTCATAGGTTTCTTGAAGATCCTGAAGACCGCCCCCCCCCCTTTTTTATAAAAAACGCATTATTTTCATACTTGAGGGACTTATCTTTTAACAGCTTGACTATTTCTCGCCCGATTTTAAAAATCAAACATGAGAAGAGGATTTATAGGCCTTTAAAATTATTTATAACAATCTATTGGTAGACTTCGATTGTTGCAAGTTTTTGTCGCGTAAAATTAAAAAAAAAAACTAAAATTTTCCTTATTTTTTCAACTTTAACCATCGTTTCAAACATTAAACTCGGTACGGTCGACAACCTGAATGAAAAGTTTTGTTACATGTACAGAAATTGAGAGCACACTGCTTGTTAAAAAGTTCTAGTTAGAAAAATTATAAAGTTGGCTGTGAAGCAATAAACAAATAGGACTAGAGGAAATATGTGTTGGTTTTTTTGATGTTGTTAAAAGTACGATTCCTGTGTTCACCTAAAGGCTGGTTTTCACTATGTCAAATTGAGTGGCATTTGTCGTCAAATAAGTGAAAACACATTGCCCGGATAGGTCTTTAGTCGTGTACATGAGCTGCTAAATCGGCTATCTGTCGGTTTTTGGCCCATAATATTATCGGTAAAGGTATATATAAAGGAGATAAAGTTGTGTCAAAATATGTCGCCAAATTTTGGCGTCAAAATATGACATAGTGAAAACCAGTCCTAAGTACAAACGATTTTTTTTTTTGCTCGCCAATCAAATTTGAGCGTACGGATTTTTAACCCACCACTGTTTATATGATATTGATTAAATTGGCAAGTTCGACACAATTAATTTTGCAATCCTAAACATTGTATAAAAACATAATTGAGAAGCAAGCCAACTAGTTAACGTCTGTTTGTACAGGGTGATAGATAACCATGCTAATACAGCTTTCGCAGAGCCATTCTTGAAAAGGCCTTCTGAACTCTTTCTACTTTGTATGAATGTACTTCATAATAAGGATTCCATATTATCGAACAGTACTCAAGGCGGATGATGTGGTGTAGTGGTTATCAGTGCGCGCTACCACTCCGCAGGGCCTGGGTTCAAGCCCTGGTCAAAGCAACATCCCAAAAAAATATAGAAAGAAGGTTTTTTT